TACAAAATGTGGTGGCTAGGTCCAATGCAGAAGTGGAGTATAGAGCTATGTCCCGTGGAGTTGCTGAGGTTATGTGGATAATGAACTTGTTAGGTGAACTGGGATTTACTGTTGATAGTCCCATGACACTTTATTGTGACAATAAGGCTGCTATCAACATTGCAGTCAACCCAGTTCTCCATGATAGAACTAAGCATATTGAGGTTGACAAGCATTTCATCAGAGAGAAAATCATAAATGGAGAAGTGTGTACTCCCTATGTTATCTCTGAAGAACTTGCAGATATCTTCACAAAGGGCCTTCATCATCTGCGGCATAGGGGTATTGTGGTCCTTTTACCTTTTATTATATTTTAACTGTGTTGCCCTACTATATAAGTAAAAGTTGGCGCCACCAACAATGGTTTTTGCCTCTCCATTTTCTGTTTCTCTTCTTCTCGTCTTCTCTTCTCTTCTCTCTCCTTTCTTCCTCTCTTTGCTTCTTCTCCTTTCTTTCTCTTATTTCTACCCAGAAAACAGTATATAAATTTTAATAATCAATTTTAGCATTTATTACCGTACATTCCTTAAGAAGAGAAAAGTTACTTAAGAATTAAACTACATATGTTTATGACAAGCAACTATAATATAGAAAAACGGTAGACTTATGACCATTACAAACTAATGACAAGGATTCAAATCCTCTCACTTATAGTTCTTATAGCTACTTTAAGGTGTGCTCAATGCGCATGATAAATTCAAATTTGAATTTGAATAATGCTTAAATGTAGCATTAAATAAATGAGTTATTAAGAGATAGGAAGTAATTGAGTTATTAGAGAGAGGTGGAAGTAATTATAGGGGTTATAGGGAGTAATTATAGAAGTTATTAGAGAGAGAAAGGTAATAGTCTTGCCATAATAAAAAATCGGAATGTATCAGCCGATACATACATAGTATCAACCTATATAGGGTGTGTACCAGCCAATACATAACCGAAACGACCCAAAACGAGATTGTATCGGACCAATACAGATGAAAGGAAACAAAATCCTAGATTTTTTTGCATTCCACATATTGGATTTCCACAAAACGATACGTATTGGCCAATATGGACCAATACGTTATGAAATTTTAAACCTTGCTACCAATACCCGAGGGTCTTGGATTTCATCTACTACTACCATCGAAGTTAAGTTTGATGACCCCTCTTCCTGGTGGAGACCAACAGCAATTAATGGTAGTCTTACTTGAACAACAACCTACCACTTCCCTCCAATTTTTTATGATGTAATCCATTGAAACATTTGAAAATGTTTCTAAGGATTTCAGACAATGTGCGACCCTAATCATTATTGTTTCAATAATGCCTTCCTTATTTCTCTCCTTCTTTGAGAATAATCTTGAATTCCTTTCTTCCCAAATTGTCCATATTGTTGTCGCTCTTGTACATCTCCACACGAGTCCCCCCCCTCTTCTTTGGCCACACAAAGGTAGTTGGAGCAAAGAGGCTTTGAACATCCACCAAAGGATTCCACCTACACCTAAACAAGGAGAAAAACCATTCCCAAATAAAAGTAGTAAAAGGACAAGAGATTAGTAAGCGGAAGCAACTCTCATCATTAGCCTCACACAAGATACACCAATGAGGGGATAAACATCACTTTAGCCGCTTTCTTTGAAGTAATCACAAGTATTAATCTTTCCATGAACAACTTCCTAACTAAAAGCTCCAATCCTTAGAGGAATAGTCTTACCCATACCTCCTTAAGTGGAAAAGATGGCAAAGAGCATGTAGAGAATTGATACAAGGCTTCAAAAAAGGAAGCACAAGAAAAATAACCCAAGGGAGTACAAGTCCATATTCGACTATCAGACTTGGATGGGTCAAGGTAAACTTCTTCCAAGGTTTGAAGGAAAGTGAGTACATTTTGTAGTTAAGAATCTCTTATACCCCTTCGGAATACCAAATCCCATTTAAAGCCATTCTTTGAGGTGGGAAAAAAAAAGGGGGAATTTGGAAATGGGCTCATTTGTAAAAGAGGTGAGTGCAAAGAGTGAGGGAAAAAGTTCCTTCAAAGGAGAAGACCCCACCCATATGTGTACCCAAAACTTAATATGGTTACCACCGCAAAGATTGTATCACATTGATGGGCTTCTAAGGAGAAGATCAATTAGCCCTGGCCAAGGTTCTAGCATCCCATCCATTGTGCAAAAGCCCATGAATACTATCACTTTTGTCCAAACTTTGTCCCTGCCTTGAGGAATTCTCCACAACCACTTTCTTAATAGTGCTACATTCCTTCTCTATATGTTCCCTATCCCCAGCCCCCCAACATTTTTGCTTCTATTTACCACTTCCCAACTAATCCTATGTTCCTTCTTTCCTTCCCCTAGTTCTGACAAGAAATTTCTCATCATCTTCTCAAGCTTCCTACTCACCCCTATTGGGATCTTGAAGACAAGCAATAAATATGTAGATTGGATAAGGTCAACCTAATCAAAGTAATTCTACCACCCAAGGATAAGTACCCTTCCTTCCATCCAGCAAGGCTCTTGAAGAACCATTCCAATACTAGCTTCCAAATCCTATCTTCTTTTGGGTTAGCTCCAAGAGGTAGGCCTAATACAACAGAGGCCACTGAGCAACATTACATCCTAAAATGGTGGCACAATCATCAATCTCCTTATCTTCCATATTGATCCCAGCTATGCATCTCTTTTCAAAATTTGGCTAGCATTAGGCTTTGCTTCTTGAATATATTTCAATTTACCTTTACTAGTGAGGAAAACTTCAACCAACTTGGCTCAGGTTAAATAATTCTCTCCGTTCAACTTTATTGAAGTCATCTACACTGTCATAAAGTCATTCTGCAGTACTACTATGGGCTTACAACTGTTCGTTGATGCCATTGTCCTCAATGCAGTAAGGATTAATATCACAAAAATACCCCAAAAATCAAACAACAACGATCAGCCACCACATTGCACCTAAAAGCACAAATCAACAAATCCAATGACATTTGTAAACATGCTAATCATCACCAAATAAATCTTCATTCATATCTGAACAGAACCACCCACAATCATCCTCCTCTTCAAACTGCTGATTAGAGGAGTTTTAAAAACCAACCAAACCGACTTTGTTCAATTGAATCTGAGGCATTTAAGTGTAAGTCCACCTAAGTTCCTTTTTCAAGACCAATTACAGAAAGAGAGATAGAATGAGAGAATTCTGTTCATGGCGTCCAGCAACAAGGTTCTCTAACCAATCATGTGAATCAGCTCTGATACCATCTTAAAAATCAAATAAAAATAAAAAAATAAGGAGGGAAATATAGCAGAAATCAGACCAAGAAATCTTAGCCTGAAAGAGAAAGAGTTGAGAGAGAAATATGAGAAGTAGGGCTGAAAGCAATAGAGATCGAGAGCTCAAATTGTCCCTAACTGCCACCCACTTTTATTAATATATTAATAACAAGAAAATTACATCTTTGCCCGTAACAAAGAGAGAAGAAGAAAATAATATAATGCGAATTGCCAGCTATGCCCCTGCCGACTTTAAATAGAAAATAGAATAAAAGAAACTTCAACAGCATTAATGGCAATGCCATTAACAAAAAGAGAAGAGTTTTTGCTATACACATAATAAAGCAGACCAGAGAAAAAAGAAATCACCTGTCTGTCACTGTCAAATGGAGGTCACAAAGGCATAGACATATAGGAAGTAGAAAAGAGGCCTCATGAGAAATACCATTATGAAGGTTACTAGTTGAAATCCTACTACCATAAACACATTACTCAACCATCATCTTCTTGGTAGTGTTTTTGCTGCACCTTTATGGCAATAATAGATATGTCATACCTGGCTTGATGAAGATTCTGACAGGAGGAACCATGAGAAACCCTTTAGTGCCCCAAACCTACTTTGTGGCTCTCAAAATCTAAATCTAAAATTACTCTTTTATGATAAGTTCAACCTTTTGCACTTGTTTACAGAAATATGTAAGATGTAGTGCATCTACATATAAAATTTGTATATCTTCTATACGAAAAAACCCTAAGGCAAGGAGTAAAGCAATGCATGGACAACTATAGCCCATGTATTTCACCATAAAAGGCTTCAACCCACAGTTTTTAAGGTGCCAAGACGAAGCTAGGCAATAGTGGAGAGTGCCTTGTCGCCTAGGCTACACCTAGCCTAGGCAGTGAGTTTTCTTTTTAAATAAAAAATATAAATCCTAGGTAGATCCCTGGGTTTCATAGTAATAAGTAGTGATCTTTAACTAATAATTACCATAATTCTTATGAAACAAGTATAAACCCCATATCAAAATATAGAAAATCAACATATTTGTGAAAAGAAAAATAAGAAAGGAAATAAAATATACAAAACATAAGAGTTGAGCCCTTGTTTCAGTCCTAGGAAGAAGAAGAAGTCCTATTGATTGTTCTTGTGTGTCAATTGGATCAAATCTTCAAGTTATTTCTTACTTATCAACTCAGGTTTTAAAGTCCTAAAGGATTTAAGATTATGTCACTGACTTGTGTGCCTATTGAACCCAAACAAAAAAGAAAATAACAAAAAGAAACTAGTATAAGAACAATAATATTAATACTATAAACCGACAATATGAAGACTAAAGTGTAACACATCTAAATCAACAGAAATTTAACCTAGATAACAAATTAACAATAGACAACTTTTTCTTTGATAAATACCCCAATTACAACAACAATGCAATACAAGACTTGACCAGATCTGCTCACCTTTACACCAATATATTTGTGAAAAAAACGATGGTAATAAAACTTATTTACAACCTTTACAGGATAAAGTGCCCAAAGCCAGCCAAAAAATTAATGCACGTTGCATGAATCATCTTATAAATCCAACCACTTGTAAAGAAGCATTGGAAGCATATGTGCATACTCCCTCGGTCTCACTAAAAAAATCATGTCAACAGAAACATATAACATGAAAATCAAAACCAATGACCTCTTAATTGCAAATCATGTCACCTGTAGTGTCTGCTCATAGGAAATATTATGAGCCCTTCCCTTATTTGAGTCAAATGCCTTTGATTCACGCCTCCTTCCAGCAAGTGAGTCACGTTTGCTGATATCACGCTCAAGAAGAATCTTTTGACCATGCAAGTGCTTTATCTCTCGTTCAGCATATGCTTTTTCACCCTGGTTTTGTATATTTTAGCAAGAGACAACAATGTAAAGAAATTTTCAAGATGCCAAAGAAGCAAACCAGTGCAGAAAGAGTGGTAAGAGTTAGGGCACCTCAAGTTTGGTTTTGTCTTGGATAGCATTCTTAAGCTTGAACTCGGTCTCTTTCAACTTTGTTTTTGTTTTCTCCAACTCTTTTCTCAAATTTTCTTTCTCCCTTGCCAATGAACAAGATGACAAGCCTGATATTTCTTTCTCAAGAATTTGAATTTGAGAAAGCAATTCACCTTTCTCCAAATCTTGTTGCTTGCAGTGCTCCTACAACAATATTAGAAATGTCAAAACAGAATAAATATCCTTAAAAAGGATTAAGGACTGGTGACAACACAGAAGCTTACACTCAAAGCCTTTTCAGAATTTTGAAGATCCAATCTAAGTTCCTCTATTTGCTTATGGAGATCAAGCGCTTGATTGGACAAAATATACTGCATTTTGAACATGCAATGCAAATGGGAAAGTTCTTAAAATAGTTGACAGTGAAAATGAGCACTAATAAGAAAATTGAATGATGTTCCACGAACACACCTTTTCGTTCTCAAGTTCAACAATTTTCTTCCTCATGCAACTGTATATCTTCTCATGGTCACAGCTGATGGATTTTAGATACATGGAATTTTGGCACATCAATGACCTCAAATCCTGCATAGATCATATGACAGCATATAAACCAAAAAGAATATTGAGAGCAATTTTAAGAGAATAACAATAACTTTTTATAGCATAAGACTATCAATTTGCGAATAGCAACACAGTGATAATTAAGAGTAACTGACCTGCAACTCTTTTGATGCAGCAGAAAAGCTTTTGAATAGATCATCTATCAGTAAAGAAATACTATCAAAAGTACTTTTCGACTTATGAACTTCAAGTAGTATTTCTTGGACTTCCATTGACATCCCATTTGAGGAGTTACCATAATCCTCCTAAAAGACATTAGCCAAACATAAACCCCTTGCCTTAGTACAAAAATGTTGTACCTAATTGAACAGAGTTCATCCTAAATAGTTATTACTTCTAAAAAGACTGCGTTTTAAATTTCAGAGGCCACTGCTATTAATTAATAAACAGGAACTACAGAAAATATGACATCACAAAAATGGAAAGCAAAGATAAGAAAGTTAAGGATACAAGCCTCAACTTTTCCTCCACACACTTCCTCACAAACCAAACTTGTCTGTCCACGTGTATTGACAAGCTCTTGATACAGCTATGGAAATGAAATAATATATATCAGTTTAACAACCAGAAATACGCAAAGAAACTAGGTGATTGTTATGATGTGATGAGAAACTAGGTGGTACAGAAACCAGGGATGGCAAAGTTGCACATTCCTTTTAAGAAACACATAAACAATGTTCACCTTATCATATTTCTCTACTGCTGATATGTTCTGCTCTGTTGCCAACTCAACAACATTGTCCAGATTTTTCTGAATTGCCGCTTTGTCCATCTCCAAATTTTTAATCTGCAACAAAAGAAGATAATCATACATTATAAAGCAAATTTTGGGAAAGAGTTTGAACAAAAACAGAAAAATGCTTAATGTAAAGGACCTGTTCCTGGAGTTTCTTTATCACAAGAATAGCTTCTGACTCTCTCAAACTTAATTTTCTATCACCACGAGATATGTGACAAAAGGAAGAATCAGTGCATATTCCATTTGAGTAACATTCTGCTGCAGCCAACCTTTTTGTTAAGCACTCAATTTCTATGTCCTTCACTGTCCTCTGCTAAATTGTAGCTGAACATTAGTATGCAGGAAGCCTTAGGAAACAATAGTAATAAGAAAAAACAACAACCTGAGTTTCAAATTCCAATAGCAAATCCTCATATTCCACCTGCATTTCTACTAATTCACTGCTTTCCTGTCAGGCAAAGAGAGCTAAGGTGATTGCATTTACATTACCAACAAATGCAAAGTACATACAAAGCATACTACAAACCACAAGTGAGCTCTTCTTCTTGTGTGGTGCTTTTCTTCTGTTAGTTACATTCAACAAGGTACGCGCATCAGGAAGTATACAATCATTGAATGAATCATTACTGAAATTTTTGTCTGCTTTGCATGCTTCTTGGAAAGTATCATCCATGTTGCCTTCCTTTTGTTTCACTAATTCTTCAAATGGAAGAGGCATCTCCATATTTCGCTCAGGTCTAATGGGGTCTTCAATAGAAACTTTTGATCCATCCAAGGATGACACCTAGAGAGCCCATACAGCATTTTAGTAAAGCACCTTAACAATTTTCTTTCACAGAAGTATAGTATCTATTTAACAAGAAGTACCTGAAAGAGTTACATGTACAAATTACTCAAACTAAGATCAGTCAAGACATTTTCAAATACTAAGCACCTTCAACTAAGAATTTTTTTTTCATTTATTCTAAAACAATTCATTTGTACTTAACATGCCCAAAGAGAAATGGAAAATTTCTGAACTCTTGGAAGCAGGGGTGATCATTTTCAGTGCCAATATCCATCACTAAATTATGGGAACTTAAATCATTTCTTACTACTTCCACTCAAGTCCTTTTCAAAATATACTTTCAGTTAATAATCAAAAAATATCCCTACCCATCTAGTCATCATGAAACTTTAGGTGCATACCAAACTACTACATTTAATCTTGGTTAACCTTGCCAATGGTGAATCCTTATCTCATTGCTTTCTTGCTCTTTTGTGCTTTGTGTTTGGGACCTCTGTTATTCTCTTTTTGGTTGTAGGTAGACTCCTCGGCAAGACGTAGTCAACCTCTTCAGCCTAAGTTTCTTAAGACAACCAAAAAAGAGGGGAAGAATTATGTGGAAAGCAATTTGGGCTGCAATAGTGTGGACTATTTGGGAGGAAAGGAATGGGAGGATCTTCAATGAGAAAAGTAGATCGAAAGAGGAAATTTTTTAAGCTATAAAAATCAAAGCTGCAAGCCGGATAAAGACACTTGATCTATTCAAAGACTTTTCAGTGAAATCATATCTTAAGGGCATGGACTGAAGTGGCATCTTCTTCTAAAGAAAAGGAAAAGGTGTTTATGGAGTGGTTACCCCCAGCAGCTAACTAAGTAAAACTAAATTTTGATGGGAGACCCATGGGAAGCACAGGAAAGACAGATATTGGAGGAGTCTTTAGAGATTGTGCAGGTAGATTGCTAGCTATATTTTTGGGACCTTTGGGATAGGAAGATTCACTTAAGGCTGAACTGATGGCACTGCTGCAAGGCTTAAGACTTGCTAAGCAATCAAGCTTCCAGTACTTGGAAGTAGAGGGAGACTCAAAACTGATGAGTTCTTGGGCCAGGAATAAACTGCTTGTGCCATGGATCTTTAGGCATGAATTTTTGAAAATAGAAACATCACACAAGAGTTGAACATTACTTTCAATTGGGTAAGGACTGCAAATGGGATGACCAATACTCTAGCACAACAAGGGGTATACAGGCAACAGTTGCTTTGGGCACTATTGTAATTTTTGTAACTTTGTTGGGGGTCGGATTTTGTCCTTGGCTAGACCCTTTCTTTGTCTTAACCAGTTTCATCAATTAATATAATCCTTAAATTTCCTGCTGGTCAAAAGAAATCTTGTTTTGATATGTTGGTAACGATACTACTATAGTTTAAGATAGAGATACTCAAAGGATTTGTCAAGTGTATCATATTGGCCACAGGATATATCCTGGACACAGACCTCCTCCATATTAGCATAAGCTTTTATTTTACTACACCAAGTAATCATAATGCCGATATACCTTAGAAAATGATACATAGAACTCCAAACATCAGAATGCAGTTCCTGGGCTATATAATTAATAGAGAAATTAAAATTATTGAAACCATAAAAGCTTCCTAATGTGATGACACAGAAACCAAGGCAGATGATGACAAATGAACAAATTATGTCTACAATATTACAAATATGCAGCATCTTAATATGGTAGTTGATAATATATCAGAAGGAAATCCATAACTTTTAGGGAAGATGCATGTGGAACATACAGTTCTTAAATATTAAACCACTTACCTCTCTAAGAGCCTCCCTTGAAAGAACACCGGGGCACCATGTATCCCGCCTCTTATCCTACATCAAATAAAAGAAGAATCCTAAGAAAATATGAAATGGAGAAAAAAAAGGTGAAACATGAAACTACTTAGACAAATAAAATTTATTTCTTTTCTATCAAAAGAATAAAAGAACATCACTCAATGTGGATCTCTATATGGGGTCTTGGGAGGGGTAAGACTGAATATGGACCCAAACTTTGGTCTTTTTTTCTGCGCTCAGACTCAAACCACATTCTCGCACTTGTCAGCCCAAGATTTTACCATTACACGTAGTAATGGCCCCTTGTTTTCTTTCAAAGAATATGAAACTAAATAATGGACACAACTTATTAGAGAAGCTAGATTGTTGGCACAATCAGGGGTAACCATGTTCAATTGGATCAGAAGATCCACCAACTTTAACTTGCCAGATGATAGGTTGGAAAAAAAGAAAAGCACATTGGCATAGCCTTTCCCAGTTATCATATTGGGTGTACAAAGAGAGCTTCACAGCCCATGTGGTTTTTGTTTTCCTTTTTTGCTTCACAATGTTATGTATTTCTTCGCTTATTCTCATTACTTGTATACTTAATAAATTCTTTTGATCTTGTTACCAATAAAAAAAGCACATGTTTCTGCCCTGCTGGCATGTCTAACACTCAAAAAAACTCAAGTTATTCACCAATAGCCACGACATTACAGTGACTAATCAACAAAAAAAAGAACAACATAATAAGGATATACTACAAACTTGTCTACATAGAATAAATGTTAACCAAAGTAAATTCAAACAAAATACTCTGGAGAGCATCAAGGAAGCTATCTTGTGGACAATCAAGGAAGCATTGAATGCAGGAATTTTCCCTAGTAAGAACCAACCAGAACACAAACTTTTTTTATCAATAACAGAAACTATTTCATTAAATAAGAAAAGTTCAAGGATGAGAAAGGGAGAGAAAAACTCTCTTACTCTCCCAAAAACGAAATTATTACAACAAAGCCCAGAACAATTAATCCCTTCCCACCCCGCCTTTTTTTTATCAATAACAACATTTTCATTAATTAGACTGCGAATATAGTACAAGCAGGGAGGTAAAAATTCTTAACTCCCCCTAGTGAGGCCAAAGCCCCAAACAAAGTCTAAAATTACACCTGAGCCCAGAATAAAACTTCCCTACCCACCCCAATCTTTGCTAACTCATCAGCAAATGGGTTACCAGATCTCTTCACCCAACTGAACTTCACTTCCATGTCCTTGACCAGCCACTTAAACTTATTCTTTTCATTTCTATACCCCCATAGACCAGCCTTATCTTCTTTCAGCCACCATCCCCTTCAAATACAAATTTCTGATATTCATCTCCATCGCTTTTTGGGCACCTTCCTCAACTGTGTAGATCTCATCTCTGAGAGAGTCCCCCATCCCTATTGGGCCTGAGAACAGAGCTGAGACTGACCCATTCTCATCCCTAAACACACCCCCAATACCTGAAGGTCCTGGATTCCCTCTGCTACTCCCATCAAAGTTCAGTTTTATGAAGCTGGATGGTGGGGGACTCCATGAGATTCCCAGGTCTGTTTTGATTTGGTTACACTTAGTAATTTCACCCCACTTTCAAAGCAAGTCATCCACAGTGAAATCTCTAAACAACTCCGAGGATTTTAGCCACTGTACTAGGGGTGAGCACTATTTGGTTAAAACCGAAAATTTCGGTTTCGGTTTTTCAGTTCGGACATTTTGGTTTTTTGTTAAATCGGTTTGGTTAATTCACTTCTTGACTAATTTGGTTTTCGGTTTCGGTTTTCAAAATTAGAAATTCAGTTAACTGAATTAACCGAACTTTCTATTATTATATGTAATATATAAGATATAATATGTAACATATAATATATAATATATTATATATTTATATATTAATATATAATATAATAAATTTGATTTCAGAATAAATTTTGTAATATATAATATATATTATATGTTATAATATATATATAATAAAGCGTATATTCTTAAAATTCGATTTTAACCGAAACAACTGAAAACCAAGGCGAAAATTTCAGTTTCGCTTATTTCGGTTTCGATTCGATTTTAATTTTTTTTAGTTCAGTTTTTAAAGTTTCGGTTTATTCGGTTCGATTTTTAACAGAATACACACCCCTAAATTGTACCACCTTGAAATGTATCAGGTCTATCAATTCTTCAACCCTCCTCTCTTTTCTAGAAAAAATCCTTGAATTCCTTTCCTCCCACAAAGACCAGCAAAATGTAGCCCTTAGGCATCTCCGCATAGTCCTGCCTTTTTTCCACTGCCACCTGAAGAAGGAAGAAGAAAATAACATTTGCAAGCTCATAAGAGGGAGCCAAATGCACCCAAAAAGGGAAAGTGTCCATTCCCAAATCATTCTTGCAAACTTGCAAGAGACCAACATATGGAAACTAGTTTCCCCATCGGCTCTACAGAGAACACACCAGTGTGGGGGATAAGCATGTCTTGGGTCTCGTTTTTTGAGTCATATCACTAGTGTTGATTCTTTCCATAAACATTTTCCAACAAAAACTCCCAACCCTAGGAGGAATTGGCTTACCCAGATCTCTTTGACAGGGAAAGGGGGGGGTCCAAGGAACTGATCAGCTCAATTAAGGTTTTGAAGAAAGAAGCAGAAGAGAACAAGCCTGAGGGGTTAGGTGTCCAAATTCTGGTGTCCTCCTTTGTTGGATCCATGAAAATACAATCAAGAAGACAAAGGAGAGACGAAATGTTGTTCAGGTCAGTATCTCTAACAGCCCTTCTTAACCCCAGATTCCAACCAAACCTAGAGTTGGAAGAAGAAGGGACAAGGAAAGAAGAGATAGGCTCATTTTTCAAATCAGATAGGGCATATAAAGATGGAAATTGGTCCTTCAAAGGGACATTCCCTAACCAAATTTGTTCACAAAACTTTATGGAATTTCCAGAATTTACATCATACCTGATAAATGGGTAGAAAGCTGATAGCAGATTGTGAATGGATTTTCGAGGTGAAGCATTTGTAGTCCTTGCTAGAATTTAGGGATCCCATCCATTGTCCTCTAGTTTGTGAATGCTAGCCACTATTTTAGCCCATAACTTCTCCTTCTCTAACGAAAACCTCCACAACCACTTCCCCAACAAAGCCTCATCCCTTTTCCTAATGTTCCCTAGCCCTAACCCCCCTTGCCCGTTACTTCTGCACACCATCTCCCGACCCACCCTATGGCCCCTCTTCTCATCTCCTGGCTCCCACAAAAAATCCCTCATTAATTTCTCTAACAAATTAGCAACCTTTCCCAGAATCTTGAAGACCGACAAAAAGTAAATGGGCAAATTGGCTAAGGTAGCTCTAACGAGTGTAACCTACCACCAAGAGAAAGGTAGTTCTTTTTCCAAGAGGTGAGACTCTTCTCAAATCTTTCCACTACCGGGTTCCAAAAGCCTTCTCTTCTAGGATTGTCTCCTAAAGGTAACTCTAGGTAGTTGTAGAGAAGATGGGCTGAATGGCCCATAGACTGTTTGTCTTATTTATCTCTTTATGTACTTTGCTGTAATGGGCCTCAAATTGGGCCTTTTTTTCTCTTATGTTATGTTTTAATTATCTGCCCAACTAAAGGCCTCTCTGTAAATTACTAAAATTTAAGTTAATGAAATAGGATTAGGGGTGTAAGAAGAGATTATGTTCGAAATCTCTCTCTGAGCCCTTATGGCCGCCACCTTCTTGTTCCTCTTCTCTCTTCTTGAAACCTGATTTTTGCTATTCTCGATCAATTCTTTGCAATATTTTGAACAGTCCTTTCATTTCAAAAGGCTGTTTTTCTTCTTGGTATCAGAGCGGGCTCTTCTTCTCTTTTTCTCCTCTTTTATACCATGCACAGTGTGTATGGAGAACTGAATCGGATGAATAGTTAAAGAAACCTGTTTCAGCCCAGTTGTTAGTGGTTTCTAGAGAGGAGAATGTCTCTATCGTCCTCCTGACAGTTTCAAGTGTGTTGCCCGAAACCCTAATTTTTTGGAGAAATCTGATTGCGGGCCCCACAAGGAGTTTGACATGGGCGTTCAGTGACTGAAAGACTTCTTGTTCTTCATCTTGAAGATCGATTCAAGTTGCTTGGTGTTTTGTGAAGTCTACAAAGTGCGGCTAAGTTTTCTCTATTTCTCCCGAGCTCCGGGTGTGACGTAGTTAGCAGGTACGGCTACATAGAGGTTGATTCACAACACAGTTTTTCTTTTGCCTTCATTGATTGTTATTTGAAGTTATTAGAAGTCATTTTTTAAGTATTTTAAGAAGATGGGCCCTTTAGAAGTTGAAAACAAGCATGTTGCTAAATCCGAACAGGTTCCGAGAGCCTCTGTTGACTCTTTACTGGTTGTGACCACAGTCAAGCTAGATGGAGCTAATTATTTGGCTTGATCACAATCAGTAAAAATTAATATCTATAGTAGAGGCAAATGGGATTATATCTCTGGGAGCAAAAAGGCTCCCTTGGAAGATGATCCATCCTATGAAAAATGGATGCAAGAAAATTATACTGTAATCGGATGGTTAGTGAACTCAATGCAACCTCAAATTAGTCAACACTATTTATGGATGAATTCAGCAAAGGAAATATGGGATAGCCTTGCTGAAACCTATTCCCAGAAATTAAATGTAGCTAGAGCATACGAGCTGAGGAGTGATGTGAAAATTTTAAGGCAGGGGGAGAAACCTTTGGTTGTTTATTTCTCAATATTGAAATCTCTATGGGAAGAAATTGATTTGATGGAAACTGTAGCCTGGGAAAGCACTAATGATGTTGAGACCTACAGGAAACTTGTTGAGAGAAACAGGGTGTTTGAGTTTTTGACAGGGCTGAATCCAAAATATGACATCGCAAAGCAGAATATCTTATCCAATGATAGTGTTTCATTGTCTCAAGCCTATGGCTTGGTAAGCAGTGAAGAAAGCAAGAGACTAGTCCAAGCTCAAGGGGCTGGTCTAAATGATCACTTTGCTAATATGGGAGTGAAACCTAAGGGAATTATA